GGATGAAGAGGGAGCCAGAGGCCAGCCACAAGCTGCTCCTCAAAGATCACGATTTCGTCGTGATCATGCTCCCAGGGATAGTCACTAGAGGGAAGACTGTAAATAAGATTCCTGGGGAGGTTAAAAAGGAAACTAGGGCCTGAAGCCTTTCCATCGTCATAGAGGAATGGCCGGAGCTGTCTAGTTCCCGCTCTTGGGAAGTAGAAGCTAGATTTCCAGAGGCCTCTCGAGCCTCCATGTACTGACCCTCCGGGAGCCCCCAAGCTCCCCCTGAGTTTGAGGGAACCTTACCCTGGTTACCGTCCCGAGGAAAGAAGTCGTCGTGTGGGTACCCAGACATTGTTGACAAGACAGAGTACTCACGAGGAAAAAACTGAACTGAAAAGGCAATAGGAACGGGAGAGAGCTCGAGCAACTAGACAAAGGCGCGACCTCAAATCCGAAGGCAAGGCGAGTTGGCATGAAAGACATGAGGCATGGGGCCCTCCTATTTATAGATACAGTGCCCAAAAGCCAATGGCTCAGGTCGAGGCAGATCCGATGGCTCACAACCAAACTGATCGCACGTCTCCTGAGACCGGAATGCGACTGGTTGCACATCTTCCAGGACTGAAGTAATGCCGGCTGCACGTCTTCCAAAACTGAAGGCTGTCTGACGCATTTTTTGGCACCCAAAAATTCCAGAAATTGCATGACATCCACACGTGTATTGAATGCGGTCGATCAACCCAATTTGAATTGTGGGTCAAATCAACCTGTCACCTCATGAACTCCCTGTGCTAAGGCAAGATCCTTAGCCCAAGGAGTGGGGGGCAATTGACGGAGGGTGATTTGACTTGACCCCCTGAGCAGGCAATACGTGGACATGACTCAACATAAGTGGCAACTCAGTGTGATAGCCTGGCTACCACTTGGTGTAACGAGCTCGCTGAAGCCCTCGCGGGTCAGCTCGCTACGGAACAGCTTGCTACATAACAGCTCGCTATGGAACAGCTCGCTACGGAACAACTCGCTACGAAGCAGCTTGCTACAGAGAAAGCTCGAGTACACTGGTATGCTAGAAGGGGACACTCCAAGGTCTATCCTAGTTCACGAGCTAGGATAATCAACTCGCTCCAATCGTTAGGAATGGATGCCTCGAAGGCCCCAGCAGCTCACTACAAGGTAGCTCACTATGGGGTAGTTCGCTACAAGGTAGCTCGTTATCAAGCATTGCGGCGTTCTTAGGAAGCTTCTTATCTGATAAGACCGTATCCGCCAGACTGCACCCACATCTCCTGACTGACGGCGCGGTCCCTGCCAGTGCCAGCAGACTGCTCCCACGTCTCTTAGCAAGTGGCATCATGTATGTCCTTTCCGGGCTACGTCTTTCGCCTGATTGGATAGTACCCTGTGACGATTACCTGCACAGCCCTGGCAAGTAACGGCTACGACAGAGGGCCAGAGGTGGTCATGCCCGATTTGACAAAACATTGGTATTTAAAGGCCCCAACTTCCAAGGGGTAAGGATCCGAACTGATTTTGCACTATCTACACTCTTAGCTTTCTCAGCATTCTCTACAGCTCTCTCAAAGTTCTAACTTAAGCATCGAAGTGTTACCATCGGGCGAGCCCCCCGGGAATCCTTTGTATTTTCCTTCTTCTCAGGCACCGTTCGTCGTCAGTTAGGAGCCAGATTTCCACCAGCTAAGAGTGCCTGGATCGCGCTACATCAGAAACACTAATGTGGTTTGGAAAAATGCAACAGAGAAGATTCGTAAGAAAAGAAATCAATAGATGAATAGAGAAATAGATTTAGAAACCAAGATTTACAACTAAGATAGGGCTGAAGCAAATTTAAAAAGAAAATAATYRACAAMAGRRRAMMWMATWCKG